CCAGGTGCCGAGCCGCCTGCGCCTCTGAGCCCAGCGGCCGGCTCTTGCGCAGACGATGCCTCTGACCTGCTCGGTGTCCTCTCTTCCCCGGCAGGTCTCCGAAGACCTGGGTGGCGAGAAGTTCTGCGTGGACACCAGCCCGGCTGGGGCGGGAAGCTGGCTCAAGTACATCCGTGTGGCGTGCTCCTGCGAGGACCAGAACCTCACCATGTGTCAGATCAACGAGCAGGTAAGTGGGCCACGTGCACTCAGGCTCGGTCCCAGCCTGGGGACCTTGGCACCGAGATTCGGGGGCCTGGGGGGGCCAAGGCGAAGGCCCGCTCACCTCTGCCACATACTTCTGGCGCCAAGCCCTGTCCTGCCGCAGGGGTGGCTGTCGGACGCTCGGTCAGAGCAGGGTTTCCGGGTGCTCAGCGAGACCCTACAAGGGCTCCATCGGGGCCCTTAGTCGGTGGACCCCCCGAGGCTGACAGGCCCGGGAGCCGACAGGCAATGGTGCGCGTGAAGGAAACCAGCCAGGGCAGACGGGCCGCAGCTTCGAGGGCCACGCTCCCCGCGGGTGCCACCACCAGGAGGCACCCGGGAAGCAGAGCCCGGAGCTGTCTGCTGAGAGCTGTGTCTAAATGGCGCGGTTTGGCCGAGCCCTCGGGACGGGTCAGCACTGACCAGCTGGGAGGCTGACGCGGCCCCAGCCGCCCACAGCCCGAGACCCGACAGGGCAGCCGGGGCAGCTGACTCGCTCCCCGTGGGTGTCCGGTCCGCCCCTGGGCTGCGGGCGTCGCTGGCTCTGACCCGCCCGCGTGGCAGGCATCCAGGCCCCGAGCTCACCAGGAGGGTGGATGCCGCGTGGAATTTCTTTGGACCCAGAAGGCGGCGTGTCCCCAGCGCCGACGGTTTTCTCATAAGTGTGCACGCGGCCCCGCAGCTGCTTTGCTCTCCACTCCCAAGCCAGGCCCCTCCTTACGTTCCCAGAGGACTGGCTCCTGGGGCGCGGGCGGTGGGGGGTGGGCAGCCCCTTCCATCAGAGCCTTTTGCTTCTGCCTGTAACATCTTGGGGTCACACATGCGATTTCATTTGCAAGAAGGATTCCATTGCTTTCCGAAATGTGTGCGGAGACCACATAACAAGGGCGCATTCTCGCATCGCCGGTGCAAACCATTAGCACGGGGCTCCAGGCCCTTGACGTTGGGGAAACGGTTTGGCGTTAATAATCGAAGGGCGCACAACCAGGGCGGTCCCCGGGACCCCCGGGGGCGGGCGACTCCCCCGCGGCAGTGTCCCCGGGAAGTGGCGGGGGCTCCTTGGGACACAGCTGGTGCCGGACGGCCCTGAGGCTCGAATCCGCCTCTGCTCCCTGGACGTCTGCGGCTTTTACTGAGAACTCAACATTTTGAAAATAACTCCTATTTCAATTGCAAAAAAATTAAAAAACAGATATAAAGCAAAAAAGTCCACATAAAAATGAGAACAGACCTTGAAGAGAACTTTTCTTTCTGGGTGGCTGTGAATTTCAGGTGAAGGATTAGACGGAAGGGGCACAGGGAGCCCCCGGCCTCTCGCCCTTTGTTTTGGGGGAGCAGAGCCTGTGTCCTCGGCTGCGGAGGGCACAGCACAGGGCCGGGGCCGGGGCCGGGGCCGCACTTTCCTGACACGCAGAAGGGGCCCATGGAGCATCGCGACTTTCCGTTTGGGGAAACGGCACGAGCACGCCGGCCCCTGCGCGACGCGGGAACGCGGGTGTCTTCATGCCTCGAGCTTCTGAGAAAGCGAACAGGCGCTCAGTCCTCGGGGAGCAGCCTGTCTCCCAGCATCTTTGTTTCACTGTTACTGTCTCCGGGGAGCGTTCATTCCAGCTCAGCATCGGGTCTAAACGGGGCTGACCGCTCGCCCAATCTGCACCGCACCAGGACCGGCGGGAGAAAGGCTTTCCACGGGGATGGGGCCGGAATAACAGACCTGGGCTCCTACCGATTCTGCCACCCCGCGCTCATCCCGGCGCCTATCTGCCCCGAAGCTCTGTCCCCCAGTCGGAAACGGCCCGGCTCTGTGACGGACGCCCGGCGGCGGAGTGTCACGTTCCCTTGCTCCCGCCGGCTGGGTGTTTCTCTACAGCAGGCCCCCGGGGAGAGTCGTCCCGCCTTAGTGCACAGGCCGGGGGAGCCGCGGGGTGCGCACTGAAGCATACGCAGCCCTGCAAAGGCCAAAGCTGAGCAACTTCTGCGCCCGGAGCTTGTCAAGCCCTCAGCCCCCCGAGAGAGCGAGGAGCCCTCTGCCTGCGGGCACCTCCTCGGGCCACGCGGAGATTCACGGCATCACCGGGCCACCGAGGCTCCCCTCCGCCCGCAGGGCCTCTGCGGGCAGCCTGGCCTCGCATGTCCGGACTGGGAGCTCCGGGAGCCCAGGCGGCGACAGGACAGCAGCCACAGGCACGGTGTCCATGGGCCAGGCCTCGCCCTCCCTGGAGCCTCCAGGGACTGTTGCCCACTCCCGCCGCCAGCCCGCAGCCGCCCAGCGCACCCAGGCCCCGGCCCTGAGCTCCCACTCAGGGGCCCGGCAGGGGAAAGGGCGTGGGAGACAGAGTGACCGGGGCTTGGAAGAACTCAGCGCCCGTCCAGAGGTTCCCTGAGAACTCCAGCGTTCGTGCGACCTGCCTGCCACGGGAGGTGCCGTCATGGAGGCCCCGACGCCTCCCTCCCGCACAGCGCCGGCCTCCGGTTCCAGGTTGGCCGTCTTCTGCATGGACCGCGTGGTCCCCGCGGTTGGGGGGCTGCAGGCAGTGCTCCCGGCCCCACCTCTGGGTTCTCATCTTGGCCACGAGACCCTCCCCTCGGTCCTCCGTGGCTCCGAGAGGCCCACTGCTCCTCCGGCACCGGCTCGGCCCTCCTCTCCGTGGCCCTGGATGGGGGAGCCCAGGGCAGCTCGGGCCACACTGGGCCACGGATTTCCTCCTGGACATGATCCCATCACCTAGGAGGTGATGTGGTTTGCTACCCACGTGGGGCCCACTGACGGTCCCGAGCTGGGGAGACCGGGTTCCTCTGGGATCGTTGGGGGTGGCTGGGCTGCTGGCAGAGCGCCGGGAGCTTCGGGCCCCCCCGGCAGCTCAGCGGGAACGGAGGGCCCAGGAGAGCCACGGCACCTCCACCC